GGGAAAAGGTCGAGCAAAATGGAACTAGGTGTCTTGGTTGGACCAAGCAAATGATACCACCCAATCACCATTTTAAACAAGCAGACCTAGATCACTTAAGATGAATTAATCTTGATGGTTCCAAACAAAATAAGTTGGGATCGACTACAAGTACTGTATGAAATCTTCGATTTTATCCTCTATACCTATTGATAGGGCATGGGAGGGAATCAACAAGTTCACTCAGCAAAATCAGTACCATATGGAAGAGGAATAAAAACATTATTCTCCACCCTCCACATGTTCCTCTCCCAATTCTTTTATACTGACACTTCCATATTTCATTATCATTTCTTTCAGCCCAAATGAAATGCACTAAGGACTCCTAACGTCTTGTTAGCTAAGATGGATCGAATAATATTTGAAATTATTAAAGATTTACCACATATAAAAAATGAGTTTCACCCTTGAAACTCGTTTACAGCACTGCCGACTTTCAAGCTCGTCAGTGTTTTTGTGCACACATGAGAGAGAAAGATTACTGACCAGTGAATTTTTGCAAAAAACTTGCACAAATTTGAGCTAATATAGGTCCATAACGTACATCTGTCTGTAGGTTACAATAAAAGTTTTTTTTTTTTTTTTAATGCAAGACACCATTAAATACAGACATCGGTTAGGACAAACAATGTAGCCATGAACAGAAATCTGGCAAGTCAAATAATTATATACGTACTAGGTACAAATTCAAGAAATGATTGTCTTGGATTTAATGGTGCATGATTATTTATTGAAGAAGAAAGCTTTTGTATGTATTCTAAATGATTCATAATATTATTGTATTCATTGTGCATAAATAACGGATACCTCAAGTTGTATAAAACATACAGACAGGATGACACTCTACAAAATCATTCATGGGGCACAAAATCTTCCCGAATCCCAAAATAGGACAAAAAAAAAATGAAAACAAGTGAAAAGGGAAACATATTCTATCAGAGATCAAATAAACAGAAATTAAATAGTATAAGAGAGTTTTGAAAAATTACACAGTGATCTATCTCAAATTGCTTAAACTTTAAGATGAGATGATTAATTATGAAAGAAAGACACTGTATTCATCTTCAAGTATTGCTACTACCCATTTATGGAAACTACGCACGGTCACGCTTTTGATCGAAAAATGAATCTGATCTTAAAATTAGTGGACATTTTGAAAATAAGATTTATATAAATATATGTGATCCGTTTTTAAAAGCTTAAGTCGTTGACAGAGCTAGAGCGGGAGAAAGAACTAGCTATAAAAACAGTCGTTAATAACTACTACAAAAAGTACTAGCTGCTGGTTCTATAAAAAATAATCTATGGGATTAGGGTTTTTGGTATGTGGATCTAGGGTTTCTTGGTAGTGTATATATAACAAAGAATATACGATTGACTTTGTCATGTGGTCCTGATCAAGAAAATCTATTTTTTGATGTGCCCATCATTTTTTAATTTTCATTTTTCCTATGAAATTAACTGTTTCTTATCCTTAAATAGAACAGAAATCTAACAATAAAACCTCACAAACAGGAAAGCATAAATTCACTTACCATTTTTTATCTTCAGACATCCTTAAAATCAGCTAACTGGATTATTGCTTGGATTAATGTTTAGCTGCTCCTCTTGTGCCTTGTGTGGATTGATAATTTTCTTCTTTTTCTTCTTCTTCTTGTATGGAATTCCTCTAGCCTTAGCTTGACACTCCTTCACTTTCCTCAAATACATACGGATTGATCCATTCCCAAACGGGTTCGACTCCGGTGATCCACCGTGTTCTTCGTAAGCGGCTCTTAGCCGTCCGATCAGTGCATCAAGGCTACCCCAAGCTTGCTTAAGAGGACAAGTGCAAGGTGCAGGAGGATCAGGATGTCCAAAAAACACACAGCCTTGTAAATGAACCTTAGTTTTTCCAAACTGATCGAGGTACTGGAGAAATTCAAGAACATGGTTGCAATTGCACTGTGAAACTGCTACTGGAGGTCTTTGATTCTTTAAGTACTGTCCAAAAGTGTTCCAATCCCTCCTCTTTTGAGACTCATATCTGCTTAGAGGCGGTGCCGGTTGGGGCTGCTGCTCGCCACTGGATCTAATCGATCCTTCTGCAACGTCGTTGGACATCATCGTTGCAGAAGAATTCATGTTTCCACCCTAAATTTATAGCTTAGTTAATTCTAGACAATTTTTGGCAATAAATGGGTGAAAGAAATGGGGAAGAAACTTGAAAGAAAATGGAGTGGTTCAGTGGAGAAAGATGAACATCACATCTTCGGTCTATTGAGTAGACATTATATGGGCCCTTGGAGGTGCGTTTGTTCCACCTTTATTTTTCTTCTCTCTCTCTCTATATCTATCTATCTATATATATAGATAGATCTCACAAGCACTCATTTTCAAATTTCTCTTTTTAATACACTATTATAGTATTACTTTTCAAATTATAATCCATTATTATGAAATGGATCATAAGTAAAATTATTACTATGGTCATTAGCGTTATTCAACAACTTAAAATTAGCCGTGAATTAATAACAGGTTACACAAATTAGCATGTTTCAACGAGGTTCATGTGGTTTCTTTGTTTCATGTTTCGCTATTATTATAATTTCATTATAATTTAAAATTAAAAGTCAAAAATTAATATTAATCAATATATTCATAACAATTACACACTTATTATCTATACATTTCACGAGACTCACTCCTCATTTTCGTTATGATCCGATTATAATTTCTCTCAAACATAAAATTTAGGTCACATAAGCGTTCACAACATTTATATTGATATATTTGGAAGAATTTTCTGCATATCTGCCAAAGACAGAAATTTTACTGGTAAGAAAGAAAACAAAACTTTAGAAGAGACGTGTCAACCTTACTTTAAAAAGTACAAAAATTTCTCAATAACTCATCGTTTTTATTTTCACGATTTCAATGAAAAGACTGGCTGCTATGGAAAATGCTAAAAGATTTTAGTATTTTTTATCTTGAAGTCATTTTTGTCAAAATGTTTCTAGAGAAACAGTATGAGAGTCAACCAGAAACTGGTGAAGCACTCAAATCCGTATTTGATTTTGACATTCAATGGTTTACACATTATTTAAGTCACGATCATTACTCATGAAGCATTATCAATCTACACTAATAAAAAATTATCCCTAATCTAATGCTAATTATATATATTGGTTGGCCATTGGTGTATCTTTCTTACTAAATATACATAATACAAAATTCTATTATTAAAAAATTATGATCAAATATTTTTGTGAAATTGTTTTTCTTTTATTTATGAGAATAACTATGTCATCATCTAGGGCGCAACAGTAGCAGCACAAAATGTGTATTACTTTTCTACGGTTACGTTTCTTTTCTTTTTTTTTTTTCTTTTGTCAATACTAGTACCAAACCCCATCGGCTTCACATTTTCGCAACTATCAACTCTCATTGACAAGGACAACATATTATCGCTAAAAGTTAGACTATACGAGTCTTAGTCCGAGCTCAATATTGAAAGGTCGAAAGTAAAAGTGTTGATTGCTTTGAATGGAAAACCTGGATGTATTACGGTTCCCTTCATTCTACTATGGTGACTCCAGTACTGAGCATTGGCGCAGCCAGGATTCTCGCATAAGGAGGGAACAATTGTTGAAGTGGCAAAATATACGTATTATGTATTTACTAAAAAATTTAAAATTTATAAGATTCAAAAAAATTCAAAATATTGTAGGGACGGTCGTCTGCCACGCCCCCGTTGTGGCTCCTCCACGGGCCCTGGGCATATTTACCAGAAGAACCATGGGATGTACGAAAATATGTATGATTATGAAAACATAGCTTGCTGATGTTATTAAGGTTGTCGAATATAAATGGAAATACTATTCCCACTTTTGTTGCATTTCGGTTGTGGGTTGTGGTGGACTAGAGAGATTTTTTTCCTGTGGTAGAAGTAATAATTATCAACTAATCTTGTTTTAGTATTATATTCTTGTGTAGCTTGCATTGGATCTTACCTAAATTAATTAATGTTTGTTTATATTAATTAAGAAATCTTGTTCCTATGGTCTTGATTAGAAAATAGTATCCAGGTACGTACTAAAAGAATCTACAATAATAGAGACATGTTCTCCATTTTCAAAAATAAAATGCAGTCTTTCGTTTTTTATCTTCTCCTACCATTTTATGCTATATTTTTTATTAAAAAAATTAAATGTTTATTGATTTTACTACCAACTTCTCATAACTCATTATTCCTTTACAAAAAAAATATTTTCAAAAGCAAAATTATCCAATTGTTTTATACCAATGCTATGACAAGTGCATCGATCCTAAAAAAAAGCTCGAAATCAAATCAATTTACACGTTAAAAATTGAAAGTTAAAACTCGTTAAAAGAGTCACCGGACTGACAAGTTCACCTAGAAATCAGGTGAAATAGAACCAATTTTAACCCTTCATTTTGTTTGGGAGATAGGGGGTCCCAATAATTTTTTCTGGTATTTTTAACACGCTCTTTAACTTACGTCACATCCAAGACTTGATGTTTGAAGTTTTATAACTGAGTGTATACTAGACTTGAACTCTATAAAATTTTGTTTGCTATGATATTATATGGAATCAAATCACTTTAAAAAAAAAATAATTTTCAAGTGTAAATAACAGTTTTTGTATAGTACGAGGCTGTATCTGATTCATGAGAAAGGTTGAAATAACTAGACTCTGAAAAAGATGATAAATCAAAAATAACATGCAGAGATTGCAATTTGAGCCATGATTCATAAAAAAGTTGGACATTTTGTTCTTGAGATGGGCCCAACCATTACCAAATGTCTTTATTGCATCATTTTGATATTTGTGATTTAAAATAAAAAGGGCAAATTACATATGCCTCCTCAAAATTTCTGAAAAATTTAGAGGCATCTTTTTTAAAAAATAAAAATAAAATTAAGAAACTTTCTCATTTCATATTTTGGATAATGCATATCTCCTTAGAGCACTTCTCATTTAACATGTTACATGATTTTTTGAATATTCATAAATTCACAAATTTATGACAATTTTTTTTAGCATTTTTGCTTCAATAGAGAATTGTTGAATGATCGATTAAGTAGAGTATACAAATTAGTTAAAGTTGAACGTGCATTACATTTTATTTTGAAATACTTTATAAGTATTGTAAAAATAATAAATACTAGTTCAACTTTTATGATTCAATGATGAATTACTACAAATGAGCAACTTTTTATACTACATTTGGTACATAAGAATTAATTGTTAATATATGAATTTAAACACATATTAAAACTCTTAGATTTATGAATAGAAATAAATTCATTTATAATAACTGAATTCATGAAGATCGAGATTCATCAAATCAAGATTTATTGAGTCTAGATTAATGTGAATATTATTTAATTGAGGATTAATAACACGAAATTTATACATGACAAGAATTTTTTTAATATTTATTACTTATTGAAAAATGAAAAATAAAACATTATTGAAATAATTGAATATTAGTAAAGTTAAAATTGTTCAAAAAAATGATTCTCATTTGATGTGATATTTAATATATTATAGATAACGCACGGATAGAAATGGGGTGTAGTGGAGCCATGTCGGTTCTTATCGTCCCGCCACATTAGGGATTTTAAACAATGGCATGTTAGAACCGAACCCAAACCCGATACTTTCTATTTAGTTTCATAAAATAAATGGAACCTAAGAATTCTATTTACAAAATACCTGAAGTTTAATGGGTGATTTTGATTTTTGAAAAAATCGAACCAACCCATCTGACGCCCACCACTAATTTATAGCCAAAATAAAACGTTGATTGGAGATTCGGAGAACATAAATGTATTTTAAACATCTCCGACTAAAGTATCTATTTATGCATTTTTGAAGAATTAATAGTAGAAATAGAACTTTTTAGCGATTTAATTATAATTATTTTAAAAGGTATTTTAGGTATTACTTCATTGTAAAAGGAGTCACAAGGTAAAAGAAAGTCGATAAAGGTATTTTAGGCATCATCACCATTATTTATACTAACATGTGACAAAAGAAGGTGAAGGACGGAATGCTTTATTTTTGTAAGCATTAATTGGAATTACTCTTTTGAGGAAATGTGACAGAGTAATGATACTCAGTGCAAAATTATTCCGATGTAATTACATGAAAATTCTCAAGCATTCTGCGTTTCACGAAAATTGATAAAAATAATCTAAACTGACTTTTCTTTCAATACAATTAAAAAGGTAATAAATTAATAGTTTAACAAATATGCGTAGAATTAAACATAAACTCACATGGTAAACGAAGTAAAAATAAATAATATATTTTTAAAAATAATGATATTTGCACGAGTACTAAACCCAGTACTTTCTGAGCTTAAAATAATCTATCTACTATGCCTTTTTCCTATCCAAAAATATAATTTTGGGAACAAGATTCCATTTATGAAAAAGTACCATATTGAAAATGGAAGGAACTAAAGAATTTTGCCCAATTTCTTCTGAATTTTGGAAGAAAATTATATTGGATTTGTGATTTGCCATGTCTATGAAATGAACATTTTCACGATATTTCGATTTAAATATGATTAATTAAGTAATAATCATCGTACATATTTACATATAATTATTGTCGAGTATCATGTAAGAAACACGTTACGACTTTTACGGACAAGTAAAATTATAGCAAGAAAATATGTTGATATCTTGGTGGGGCATATTAGATGATGTAACCAATCACAACACATGGGTTGTGGGACCAAGTGTTTCTGATTATTTTCTTCTATGCCTTTTTCTTTTTTTTTGGTGGAAAGCAAGCTGGTTCTTGATGCCCTATATAGATTTTGGACGAGAATAGAATACATGTAGCAATGAAAAGAAGAGGAGTAATATATCATATTTGGTATGCTACATGAATAAAGAAAGGGATGGAATACGATTCCCATCTTGGATCCAAGTTCTTGTTAGTTGTTTTAAAGTACAAGAGAATTAACTTTTATTACTATAATATGTATTTGTTATCTTTCTTGATTGCAGGAAATGAGCGTAGTTGATATTTTAAAGGCCTGTGGTTAGAAATCTGCTGGCTCGACAGAAAAGTACGAATTGATTTAAGGCTACCTTAGAAGTA